CTCTCTCTACAAATGGCGGAGGACGCTCGGAGCTGCAGGGGAAGGCTCAAAAGTGTCCCCAAAACATCTCGCTCCATCGCCCCCCTATCGCCCCCTTTTCGTTCCATCGCCCCCACGCCGCCCCTTTTCGTTCCATCGCCCCCCTGAAAAATGAAATCGCCCCCTGGGGGGCGGTACCGCCCAGGTTAAGAACCACTGTATTAAATGACTATCCTGGAAATGAGAATCTGTTTGTTTACGTAGAATTTTGTATTTCTCTACAACAGCCAGCACAAAACCATCAGAAAAAGGTGCAATTTCCCAGAGCTGGTTCATTAAGCATACACACGCACACAACACACACACACACACACACTGAATAGTAATGCTGAAATCTGATTAAGCAAAAAAAAAAATCAAATATAGCCCTCTATAGACAAGGAGAGTCCTTATTCATCACACACTCACTTTCTTACACAAAATAGACTTGTTCTCTATTAGTGGTTTTGCTCTCGCTGATTTTCTGAAAAGCAATAAATGGCTCAGCTAAATGGTCTGTTAGAAGGTCAGTGACAATGCAGAATCTTTTCACCATTTCTCTCTGCCTTTTGAAGCTGATGAAATCTCACCTCCGATCATAACCACTTCCATAGGGAAACTGTTGGCGTTGGCCTATGCCCATGTTGGACATGGTTCCAGCGGGACTCTGGCTGTATATATCCTGCATGCCACTGTTGGGCATTTGTCCAGGGGCCATGAAGGTTTCACTATTTCCAGGCACTATGAAAGAAGAAGGAAGGAAGGAAGGAAGGAAGGAAGGAAATAGCATAACTATATTATTTGAAAGATATATGATTAAGAAATATTAAATACCACTGATGTTCAGAGAACTGAAGCAGAATAATCCAACAAATAGTATGAGAGCTGAGGAGATACTTATTTCAGCAGTAGTGCCATTATAATGCCACTGTGTTTTACAATAACTGGGACCACATCTATACTCTAAACATACTGTATTTTATAATTTAAAACCCAAATAAACATCTCAAGCAATTTTTGAGTTTTCTACTTTTTGTCTCAAGAAAGGAGTCTATTACTAACCTCCAAATCTCCACTGGATCAATATATCAGTATTACGATCTCAGCCATTTTTGTTCTCTAAGATCAGCCTATAAATGAAATGAGTATTTCCATACCTATTTGTGTAATGAATTTGGAAAGGAAGATATCTAAATACCTACTGGCTACTGGATAATGGATACTTTCTAAAATATCAATCTACCCATAAATAAGCTTTTTCTCCCTCTTGGAGGTGACATAAAACACAGATCTTTTCAGGTTTTGATGTTGGCTTTGGAATACTGCATCCAGAAAAACTGTAAGTGACCAGGACTGGTAAATCTGGGTACTAAATAAAAATGTTTTTCCCAAGTTTTTTTACAGCTTTTGATATGCTCATTTTAAATTTCTGCTTTAACATTGAAAATGCTGCTGTTCTTATTTTATTGATTTACTTGTTTTATTGCTCTATTATTTATTCCTGCTTTCAGATTCCTAACTGGAAGTCACTTTGGAAATCTCCTTGGGACTTAAGAGTAATAAATGATTTTACAGATGCAGAATATTGTCTAGTATAAATCACGACTTAGTCATTATCTCTCATCTTGAAGTATACTGCAAGGTTTTTGTGAATGTAAAATAGTTGTTGTAACTGTATATACAGATGCCTACCTACATACTGTACATACATAAATAGAATCTAGCCATGAAAGGTACTCTAGAGAGGCATTTTTGTTCAGGTTTTGTGAAATAATTGAGTCCTGTTGTACAGTCAGAATTTTGCTAAAGTTTCAGTATGACTTTTTTGTATTTTTATGTATGTATGTTATGTCTGTTTACATATGACTTTTAAAGGGATTTGAATCTCAGTAGTCATAATTTAAATGATCTATTTAACTCAAATCTCTACACATTTTAGACACCGCTGAGACATTTGTCTAGATCTAAAAATGTAGCAGTTGGAGCAAGTTTCCATAATGTGGAACTGTTGCAAGAGATCCTTACTTCCCTGTCAAAGAAGTTTTTCCCAAGAATGTTATAGGGCACAGACACATTTTTAAACCATTACAGAAACTCCTTTATAGCATGCCGATTTATTCCAGCAAACTTCCTGTAGCAGTCCTATCTTATCTAAATGTGAAATAAGACAATGACAATTGGTGATTACATTAAGATTTAGACTAAAATAATATATGTCATAACATTGCATGTACCAATGAAGGAGAATATTTGTAGCTCAGAGTTGAAATGAGGGGTCCTTGGTGCTCTCAGAGTTTGCTTGTTTTCTTGCAGACATTTCATTACCCTAACTAGATAGCATCATCAGTGCTAGTAAGGAGTGCTGTTTACTGTCAGTTTATATTCTGGGGTCCAGACAAGCAAGACACCAGAATATAAACCGACAGCAAACAGCACTCCTTACTAGCATTGATGATGTTACCTGGTTAGGGTAATGAAACGTCTGCAAGAAATTACAAGCAAGCTCAGAGAGCACCAAGGACCCAACATTGTATGTCTTACTAAACTGGCTTGTATATTATATAATCTGAGTTTACCAAATCCTGTTGCTTACAGAAAAGTAATTGGCCTAAGTTGAGACTATTGGTATAATTCGAACAATATAATTATTAAAACTCTTCCATATAATTTTCTGTATCATAAAAGGAACTTCTTAAACTTATTGGCAAAAATTCTCTGCACTAATCTCTTAACTTCCAGAACAATAATATAGTTACTTATGAAAGACACAGAAAAGCAGAGATGGAGAAACCCATCTAGGAACTGATATACACAAACATACAGACAGTCTATGCCCCCCCTCCCCCAGCAAGGAGATACCTTTTCTCATCCCACCAAAAGGATCCTTGTTTGGCTCAAAGGGCATCCTTCCCATCATATCTGGCATATTCATTGATTGCTGATAGGGTGCATTTGGAGTCATGGAGTTCCGTTTTGGGTATGTGGAATCACTTATATCCGAAAAGGGATCATGTACACTGACTGAACTATTTCTAAAGAGATAGAACATAAAAAGGTATTTGAGTTATAGAGACACAGTTATAGATGAGCAATGCCTGATCAGATGGTGATCCATAAGTTCAGAAAGTTAAACTGTTGTGAAAATCACCACTGTTGCCTTAGCAGAATATGATATATAAGATAGTCAAAGTATATAGAACAAGTGTTCAAGTACCTCATTTTCTACCTGAGCCAAGAAGTTCAGAGTGGCATATGAGGAGAACACCTATTTGTCCAAGGGCCATAAAATAAACTTCATAGCAGAGCTGGGATTTGAACAAAAGTTTCTTAAATTCAATCCAGCAGTCTAATCATCCCAACGTAGTGCCCCCTTTCCATCATTTATATGCATCACAGATCAATTCTTGGTTTCAGAACTTAATTTATATCAAGAGTATTATGCCTTATGAAATGGCACTGTATGATTAATTTATTCATTTTAATTGCATCAATATTAAACATATGGATATAAGCAGATAACCTTTTACATTTAGTTGGCAGATCTCTGATCATATCCAACCTCTGATCATTGAATATTCCCCCAAGAATTATCTCCAAAGAAATACCCTTTTGTATGTATGGATTGAAATAACACATATGGACAACAATGGGCAATTTTTAAAATCAGTGAGTAGGGTTGTACATGGATGTGCCTGTGTGTTGGCAGATAAACAATTCAAATTGTGCACAAACGATTATTTCTGAAGTTTTTTTTTCAAAGTCAGATGCTGCAGGAAATAATGGAGAAGTCCTTTTAGGGAAGAAATAGAACTGTATTTAGTTCTCTTCAATGGGATTAAGCCATGATAATGGCTTACTTGGAATTGCTTGCTAATTTTCTCCATTTTTTCTGGTTGTTTTTGCATACATCTGGACACAGTTGCACACATATCTGTATATACACACAAAGAGTTCTACAGTGAAAAAGCAGAAGCTTCATCCTGCAAACTCATATAAAATTAATCTTAAGGCAAAGCTTTTTTTACATTTTTAGTTCTGCAATCAATGCAGCCTCGAACCAAAGACTGAAGAGTTTGTGTCTGTTTGTGTATCGAGGAAATTGAAATTAAAAGCAATGTTTTCACACATCAGATTGAATCTCTGCATTTTCAGATCCCATACCTCTCCTTTTTTTTTTCATTCCTGGTCAGGGGGAGGGGTGAGATTGACAATATGGTGGCAAAGAAAGATGGGGTAACTGCCACTCACCATCAATGATGTCATGGGCAGCATCCAAGAAATGCCCGTGACACTCATTTTCCAGATACCAATAATATTTCCCACAACATGTTGCATTTTGAGTCACAGGAAAATGCAACATCCCTGAAAGAGAGAGAAGGTGTCTGGATTTGGGGCAGTGACTGCACTTGCCAAAGCACAGATCCAATATCCTGAAAGGCTCTAAGAAAAGTACCTGCTGCTCTGTGTAGGTGTCATCTGTCCGTGAGGCGTGGACGCTGGTGTTGGAGGCTTGAGGTCACTTGGCACTTCTGTCATGGAATTGCTCCCCGTAGACTGGGGGGTCTGTGGACCCTGAAGAGAACCCGAGTTAGCTGAAATTTTTTTTAAAAAAAGGGGAAAGGAAAGGAAAAAATATCAGGTGTGAACTCTCACATGCGTAAAAAGAAAACCGAGACAAAGGAGAAGAGAGGTATTTGTGAAGAGAGCTCATTTATTTTAATTGAATATACCTCGTAGATGAGATGTGATTTATTTTATTAAATTCTGCATTGGCTAAGAATTCATCATTAAATACTGCTTAAGCAAAAATTGTCCAACAGGGCAGATATAATGGAATTGTACAGGTTCCCTGTATCCGAAACTCTAAATTCCTTTCAAAATATACTTAACTTGCAAGAAAAATACACTCCCAGACCATAACAGAAAAGTCCAGAAACACCAAGTTAATGTTCTTGGATCATTTTTGTGGAATCCTGGTTGGTCTCTGAGGTTGGCTGTTTTCTTGCAAACATTTTATTACCCAACTAGGTAACCTCTTCAGTGCTGAAGGAAGTGGGATTAGCTCTTGTTTATATACAGTAGCTTGCCCTGTCAGTGTTGGCTGGAGTATTGTTTACTATTTGATTGTTTGTCTGAGCTGATAGTTCCAAACTCAAGACAAACTCAATTCAAGTTGGATCTTTTCCTTAGAAGCATCATGCAGCAAAATAAAGCACCAACCCTTATATTTACAGGGTCTTATAAAGGAGAAACTTTGGGAAAGTCTGTGATTCTAAGGTCTTGATATGAGGAGATCCCAATATATATGATGTGGATTCATAAATACTTAGGATGAAGCTGATGGAATAATCTCTCTGCCAGGCAATCAAATGTCTAAATTAGCTCTTAAAATATGGGCTTTTTTTCCCTCTGATGAGATTAGCTTGTCTGTTCACTAATTGCTCCCTAAAATATGGTGAAAACAGTTTTTTCTGCTTCAACAGCTTAGAAAAAAGAGCTGTAAATCACATAACTGCCACAAAAGATCTATTATGTTGCACACTTTCTATATAACACGTTATCAAGCCAAGCTATTTATTTACTTTATAATATTTATAACCTGTCCCAATCCTAAAGGTCAAAAGAAACAATACAAACTAACTAAAAACAATTACAATAAATCATCCCAAACCTAAACATGATAGGCACTGATAAAACTAAACTTTCCAAATGCTAAATGTATTCTGAAATAGAACTGCTTTAATTTGAGCATGAAATGCTAGGAGGCTTGGGCTGTGGGTACCTTTGGGAGGAGGATATGCGGAGAAGAGCCATCATCTGCTGCAGGCCCCAGGCCCTTCACAAAACTGGGATCTGCAACAGGCCATCTCTGGATGACCTGGCTAGATAGCAAAGACAATTCTGGCAAGGGGTGATCGGATAAGTCCCAGGGTTGTGCTGTACAGGCTATAAAGGTCATGACCACCACTCTGAAATTAGTTGGGAAGCCTACTGGTAATCAATGCAGCAACTTCAAAGTATGTGTTACTTTAGCCCAGGGGTGACCAAACCTGGCAACTTTAAGATCTGCAGACTTCAATTCCTAGAGTTCTGGGAGTTGAGCTCACAAGTCTTAAAGTTGTCAAGGTTGATCTCCCCTGCTTTAGTCTTTAATTTTCCTTCCTGGGCCTTCTGGCAGCTCCCTTCTATTAAAGAACAGAGCAGCATACGTTGCACAACTATCCTGTACTTGAAATTTACCACTAGAATGAAGAATATATAGTTTGACAAGATAAACATCTAGGTATAGAGAGAACGAGATGAGGTTCCCTCAATAGGTGAATCTCAATTCTACCGTATCTCAGAAGCATCCAACTGGACTTGTTGGCTTCGCTACTGTGCAGTTGTACCCTGTACCCTGAGGCTTGCACAGACTCCACTGCAATTTCCAAAACACAATTGCACTACAATGCCGGTCCTTTTTATTTATACTGTCTCAAATATCCAGTTGATAATACCAGAGAGGGAAGAGGAGGGTGTGTGTGTGTGTGTGGAGTGAATGAAAGCTTTTCCATTGCCCAGCAATTCTTCCCCCCCCTCCCCCGCCAAATTGGAAGAAACAAATAAATACATGAATGTAGCCTCTTGGAACTCTATTAATAGGAGGCCTAACATGCTCTCTAGGATATCCCTACCTTTTGCCAGAAGCTACAAATGTATAAGCTAAAGTAAACAATGGAAAGGTTACTGAAGGTTAAGTACATTCACATACTTCAGTCTTAACAGCCAGACGCCATGCTGGGAAGATAATTTACACAGCATGAACTCGGTGCCCTAATTCTGACAAGGGGGGGGGGAACGAGGGAGGGAAAAGCAGTGGGAGGTTTACTAGGAAACATCACATGTCCACCGCGAATGAAGGTCAATCGGAGGGCACCTTTGTTTATAACCCAGCCCCTTTCCTCGTTTATCTTCCGCTGGGGATTCCCTAGTTGGCTGCCTGCCAGATTTTGTGACATCACCTGTCAGCTAATAATAGAAATGCAGTCAGCCACCTGCCAGCAAAGATAGATGGATTTTTGGTTACAGACTTGACTAATTAAAAGACTGCTTTAGCCCTCCGTGCTCCCTCTGCTTGTTTCTCCGCTGCCAAGGAAACCCTGTGCTCTCTGTAAACTGAGGCTCAAAAGTTTTCTAAAATAAGCCTGCTGAGAACATTGGAATTACAGAAATGTTGGTGGGGGGGGGAAATTGGCTCGTTTCCTTCAGTCTGTTGAAATGAAATACAAAAACAATTCGGCCTGAGTTAAGAAGTGTGCTCAAGACTTCTGGAATTTCAAAGGATGGAAACAGGTTTTGCAAATCTGACTTTTAATGATATATTTGGCACCGGAACTTTTGTCACTTTTAGAGATGGCGCTTGTTAAGTAAGCGATTTTATGACCTTTTTGGGTTGCAGCCATTAAATGAATCACGTTGTCGTTAAGTGAACCGTGCAGTTGTTAAGCAAAAATGACTTTGCTGGTTGGAGGCCCCCCCCTCCCCGGGAACAGCATAAATGCCAATCACGTGATCCTGAAGCACTGCAATGGTTTATAAATTCCCACCGGTTGCCAATTTCGATCGTGTGACTACAGGGACGCTCGTGAGGTGAGACTTTACCAGTGCCCATGTTATTTTTTTTTAATCTATCCCTAACTTTTTAGAAGTTATTTTTTTACATTGGAAGGTCAAAATGTGCAAAATGATATGCCTGCTTCCAGTAACTCTTCCAACTTTAAGGATGTCCTCATCTAGGTGCCAAAGTAAAAATGACAGGTGGATTAAGTCAACACTTTTTCTGAAATGCGCAGAGAAGAGATGCTGGAAACAAGGCGAAGAGGTTTGCTTGGGCTCTGGGTGTATATTGATGCACACTTTTCTGCTCAATTTTTATTTGTGTCTGGGATGCTTAGATGTTGGTGCATGGTTTATGTAGCATTGGAATTTGGGGGCAGTTTATTACCTAGGGCAGGGGTTCTCAAACTTGGCCACTTTAAGACTTGTGGACTTCAACTCCCAGAATTCCCCAGCCAGCCATAGCTAGCTGGGGAATTCTGGGAGTTGAAGTCCACAAGTCTTAAAGTGGCCAAGTTTGAGGACCCCTGCCCTAGGGCCTTTCTGAGGTGATATGCGCATTTTGCATTATTGTTGTTGTTGTCGTCATTACTGAATGTGGAGGATATTTGGGTGTTTTGTCTGTCATGCACGTTTCCCTGAAGATCCCCAGTTTGCTTTTGATTAAATGGATACAGAGTAAAAACTGAGTGTCAAAAGAGCATGAAGCTTGTTCTCTTACCTCTACATTGTTATTTTTTTTTTCATGAGAAAGTTTATTTTCTTTTGAGCAGGCATTTTGTGAATATAGCCATGTCCACAATGACAGGTATTTATGAATGGGAAAGTGCCACCATGGTAGCATGTTTTGTGCCCTAATGCTTTTTTCAGCATTGCAAATTAGCATGTAGTAAGGTGAAATTCAATTATAGATCCAGCAGTAAGTTAGGAAGAATATGGAAAACATAATTTGGCAAACACACTCTTTTCTCCCCTTCAGTATATACTGAAGAGAATTCTGCTTAGTAATTGACTTTTTATGAATAAATTGTGATTCAAAGAACTGAAAGCTGAAACACTAACAGCCTTCTATTTCCTTTCTTCAAGCACCATTATGCATTGTTAACTCTGTTCATATATTTTGCACTGTCAGTGTGTCCCTAAATTGCTTGTACAGAACAAGTATTGGAAATTAGGAGACTAATCCTTAGATATTTTGTAAAAACCCTAACTCAGCAGTAAAATCTATGAACAACAACTCATACTGGTGAAATTTTTCCCAGATGTAATCATGTTTTTGTTTTGAAAAACAAGTTTTCACTTGGTCTAAATATATCTTTCTGAACAAAATATAATACTGATAAGATATTTAAATATGGGCTAAATGTTTACACCATGAACGCTGACATTTCTCTGCTTTACCATTTATTCAAAGTAAAGCTAGATTTTCCATTTGAAATCTGTTTACTTCAGGCTGTTAAGAGAGTATTGAGGTGTAAACAGTTATGATGAAAAGTAAATATTGGCACATTGGTTTAACTATATGGAAAAATACATTCCTAACACTGATTCTTTTTGTTTATGGAATATCCATCTAAATTAAAGTGTTCCAGCACCATCACTGACACAATAGGGCTTTCACAGATATTACAGTAATGGAATTGCTATTATTCAATTTATCCCAGTATTTTAAGTTTGTTGTTTCACTCCTCAGCATATTTCCTGTGGTTACTTCCATTGCAACAAAAAGCTAGTAATCTACAACAAATGTTTTCGTAGTATTTCTGCTGGAAAAATAACTCTCATCTCTGGAAAGTAATATTTAAAAGACTGATAGCTTTATTAAGACATAAACTTTCTTGGACTGAAGCCCACTTCATTATAAGAAATAAATATTGCTCTCAGTTGGCAAATATATATTTATAGGTGGGTGTATACATACATCCAGAACATACTTAAATATTTTCCTAAGGCACACAGTAATCCACAGTAATATTAATTTCAGAATGAATAAAATCCAATTTTATGAATAATTGTTTAGTTTGGGAATTTTCCATTGCTGCCTATAAGTGAAGTATTTTTGTTGAAATACGGTCACCTTGCCAGACAAAAGAATTCAGAGATCTAAGTGCTCTTCAGTCGGTTTCCTAGTGTTCAGTGTTATTTTTCTATTCTTTTAAAGGAAACAGACCTGTTTGTTCCTGTTCACAAGCGCTAGAATATAATATCATATTGGAGGAACAACTGAATGAGCCCTTAATGGCCAAATAAAATAGCAGGTTAACTGAGTTATATTACGATAGGACTATCTATGGATAGCCCCACCATTTTAGTCTCTCTCTTTAAACTTCTAGCACACATTTTTTACAACATGCTACATTTTTATGGCCTATGGTAGGCTTCCTTACTATGCTTCCTCCTCTTCTTTGGGCCTCTCACAGTCCTCTAGAAATTTTTTTTTTCTCTCTCTCTCAGGAATATTCTGTTACTTTTATGTATTATTTCATTTTTCCATGATCCCTGTTCGGTCTTCCTATTTTTATTTATCTGCAATTTGCTGCCTCTATTCTCTTGCTTTCACTGTTTTCTAATGCTACCTAATAGTTCTATTCCCAGGTTTCTATCATCTCCAGAACAAACAAACAAACAAAAACCCTAAATACTTTCCCAGGTTTCTGTGATATCAAAGCAGCTCAGCAAATCACTGCCCCAAACTTCACCACCGACAGTAAAACATTTGTTTGTCAACATTAAATATCAATGAAAATAAAATGTTATGAATAAGAAATGCAAAAACAACAGAAGTCCATAGAAAGATTTTACTATATGCTGTAAAGCACTGGTTGGAACAATGGCATTAGAATTTTGCACTGCTAAAAAAGTTTTAATAAAAATGGAAATGCAGCCTGATTCTGCTTCAGTAATGTGGAGTTCATTTTACTTCCATCAGGAATTAGCAGTAAACATTTTTAATAGTTATTAATGGAGCTAAATTTAGCATGCAGAATGTTGGTACAGATTTGACAGATATTTGTTCGTGTCAATATGAATATATGCAAATCCTTTAAGAGATCTGTTGACATAGGTAATCAAGAACTACTAAAATATCCCTCATTTATGAGCTTCAGAAATTAATTAGGAATATCTACATGTGGCAGATGTTTTTATGAGATTTAAGTTGTTTAGTTAACTCCATCTCCTGTGCATTTTTTAAAAAAGATTATTTCTGTAGTTTTTCAACTTACCAGGAGATGGCGGCTGAATCTTAGCTTGTTTCTTAGTATCTCCGGTGCTGAAGACTTCTGGAGGGGGTTCCTCCCCTCGTTCAATCTTGCATTCAAAGGCAAAGAGGTATTGAATATATTGTTTTTTCAAGGAGCTGGCTGCACTGCTCGAAGTGCCAACGTTTAGGTTGGTAGACAGCTCACGCCACTTCTTATTTTTATTAACCTAGGAAATGAAGGAAGGAACTAAGACACAAATAAATAAAATAGCAGGTTGAGTGAACTGTAGCAAAATGGATTGATAAAAAACCTGAAGACAGAAAAGGGAAAAATCTACATGTAATGTCTTTTAAAAAAACCTTTAATGCCCATTATTCTCACACTTAATAATGCATAAACATTATCTGCACTTATCAAACCATTAAGAAAAACTTACTTTACCTATATAAAATGCTTTGCTAGAACATCATTTATATCTCTACTTTTTATGCTTTCAGTGAGCTTGCAATGTGTAGTATGAGCAAATTTATCTTGTATACTTTGTTCCTCTGACACACAAATGTACAGTGTTTTTCTTTAAAAAAAAATCAGCTTTTAAAAACAAATTTTAAATGGCAATAATAAAGATATTATTGAAGTGCTTTAATACTGATGCAAAGAATGGTTTTCTTCTTCAAAATAGCTGCTCCAGGTTTGTTCAGCTGGTATGTCTGGTTCAGGGGCTAAAACTGCAGGCCCTTTATAAGAGAGACAGCACTCACTATGCAGAAGATGCAATATGAATTTTCAAAAACATTTCTACAGAGAAAATACTACTGAATGAGATGAATTCTATTGCTAATGTATGGCACTAAAATTCTAAGAGTTTCTTAAATAAAATTGGATTATGTATGAAGACCAAAAAATGTATACTATATGCATCCTTTTGTGTAGGTCCATTATAGTATATTATCTTCACCTCCCTGTTATGGCTAGATGGTTAAAAAAAATCTAACAAAATATGCACCTATATATTTTCTCGATTATAGCATACACAGCTATATGCATTTTTTTCCTGTATGTACAGTATATTTGAAATCACATTTATATGAATCAGTCATTATTTACAAGATGTTCCATATTGGTGTACAAAATTATAATCAGTGATTAGGTGATATTTATATAAGCAGTCTCATTTCACTGATTATGCATGAAGATGAAATTCATTCTCATCTCTTTTTTTCTAGCAAAATTTCAACACAGCCAGTTTGGAATAGCAAGTTAAGGCACTGGTTAGAATTCAGGGGATCATGAATTCTAGTCCTGTCTTAGGCAAAAAGCCAACTGGGTGACATTGGGCCAGTCAACTCCCTCTCAGCTGTAGGATGGAGGCAATGGCAAACTTGAAAAAACTTTGCTAAAAAACTGCAGGGACTTGTCATCATTTTTAATATGTACCACCAGAACACTATTATTTGGGGGGGATGGAGTTAGATTGGAGGATTAAGAAACCCAATAAGGTAATCATATCCTTTTATTTTAACACCTTTCTTGAGATTACACATTCTGAATTCTGAATGGATATTCTTGCCGTTCTGGATTATGAGGTTCTCTGCACTATGTTTAAATGTTATTCTTGAAGCTAGAGGTACTCTGTCTTGAATCTTTTGAAATATGCAGATTAGAATAATGTTAAGTTGCATTTCAAGGATATTCTCTACTTTTGCCTGCAAAGGTAAGATTAAAGCCATTTGACAATCTGGCATCACTCACAATCACTCACCTGGGCTAAGCCTCCAATCTCCTTTACACAAACATAGAGTCTAAAAAGATCCAGCGGTTTCTTGCCAACAGCAGGGAGACCAGCTACAGGTGTTCCCCTTTCTTCCATGAAGGTGAGATAGCGATCCACCCAAACTTTCCGCTCTGGCTCAGTTCCCAGCTCATACATTTTGGTGATCTTCTCCCCAGTTGTGTTGGAGGAACTTGATTTCTAAAGCAAATACATTTCAAAAAGAAAGTTGGGGAAGGGAAGGAGAAGGGAAATGGTAGTAAGAAACTAAGACAACATAGACAAAGGAGGATGTTAAACTAAAGCTATCACACGACAGACAGGAATGAAGGCTACTAGTTCAGGCACAAACAATACATTCTGTCCACATGTTGCATTTCATTCGTAAAACAAGGGCCCAAACTCCCAATTTTATTGTTTTCATATTAATTCAGATAAGCTTTAGATCTCAGAAGGCAAGTTTCTGATGATGCCTGAGGTTAGTAATAATTTCACTCTATTAAAAAATGAAGCCCTGAAACACAAGATAATTCTAACGTTTACATTCAAATCAGTTCTGCTGTAATTAGAATTAAAAGAAATCCAGTCCTTCACACCACTACTGAAGCAAACAAGGAAACTTAAATTAGCAGTAACTTCATAATACTATTCACCATAATTCCTAATTCATATGTAAAAAATACATATAGTTAATACTGTTTCCTGATTTATTAATCTTGAATTTGATAGCTGAATTAAACATCATTGCACAGTTCCTTTTCCATATACCTCTTTATCTCACTTCCCTATTATCTCTATGTGGTTAAAAACGTTTTAAGAAATGTTCAAGCAATCAGAATAGCTGTTTATTATCTGCCAAAGTTTCACATTCATTTTATTTCTCTTTGTTGTTTGACTTCTTTTTCCATTATCAATAACATTATATTCATCATTGTGTAGGAGAATTCCTAAACTATGACCTGTAACTTTATCTCAAAAAGAGTTTCTCTTTCTACTAATTTTAACTCTTGGAAAAATCAGTGCCTTTGGCATTGGAAACTAAGCACATGGTATTCTTTTTCAGGATGAATGAGCTTTTTAAAGACTATTTTTAGACAACTATTTAAAGACTTGCAGAATAATAATCTAAAACTGTCCTGACTGAGATAGTATAAAGAAGTAATTCTATGCTATAGGTGGAGGCAAGGAAAGAAAGGGGAAAATTATTAAATACACGAGTATCAATAAGCTATCTGTAATTAAAGCAACTGGATTATAATTGAGGTTAAATCAAATTAGATCAGAATTAGTTTTTGCCTACATCTTGCCTACTTTTTTTAACCTATCCTTGTCCACTTTTTGGAAGATGCTCATTCTACTCAAAGACCTATGCTGCTTTTGGCCTGAAAAATATTGCACACCCCTACACTAATGGTGCATCAATGTTAGATGTGGGGTTGACTATGAAGTCAATGGTGCCAGGGTACTATGTGTTCCATGATTTTTTTTTAAAAAAGTCATGTCCTGTCATGTCCGCCTCTAGGAAATGGTGCTCATCTCTGTTTCTTAGCCGAGGGAGCTAGCATTGTCTGAAGACACTTCTCTGATCATGTGGCCAGCATAACGATATGGTGAGGTGTGCACAGAACACGGTTACTTCCTCACCGAAGTGTTACCTATTTATCTGCTTGCATTTGCATGCTTTCAAACTGCTAGATTGGCAGGAGCTGGAGCAAGGACAGGAGCTCACCCCGTCATGTGGTGCTTGGGTCTCAAACTGCCAACCTTCTGGTCAACAACCCTAGCGTCTTAACCCCTACGCCACCATACCCCTGGGTTCCATGGCATAAATGCTAAACATAGGACTGAAGCATTGCATGGTGATGAATGTAGGCTGCCATCCATATCCAGACACTGAAGCTTATTCTTACATCATTCAGTAAATATGTAATATCAGAAATAGTTTCATCTCTTGTGTTATTCTATGGAATTTTGTAGGCGTTTGAAGAAGAAGAAGGCGTGCTAACTTCTTCAACTCACCTATCTTCCAGGCTGTTCCAGTAAAAACAAACAAACAAACAAAAAATAACCCGATTCCATTTCCTTCAATTTAAAATTTCTCTTGGCTCCAGTGCCTCCACGAATAGAAGTTCTAAGTTTCCATTTCTATGCCTGGCATAGTTATAATTGTAATCTAGTCTGTTGATTTGCAGAAAATGAGTAATTACGTGCCTCAAGCACATTTGTCTGTACATTCTAGTTGGTTGCAAAACTGGATTCTCAATTTCATAAAGACCCAAAATTTGGAATGTCATCTGGCTTGAACATGAAACATAAATATTTACTAGATATTTAGATCCAGATTTGTTATTATTTCAAGTGATCACAGTATTTGTAAGGCCAGCCAGAGGCCAATTCCCCATGAATGGTTTAAACATCTAGCATCATCTAGCCATTATTAAGTGATATAAAGCTTGTCCCCATTATTGTTATTTTGGCAGAATGATGGTTGGATGATTTAGAAGGCAGTATAAGCTGCTGGCAGGAAAACGAGCAGAGTCGAACATTTCTAGGTCACATTGATTTCACGGGAGATTTAAAATAAACTTAGAATTCTTTCGCTGAAGTATACTATTTCATTTTATGTAGACTGGGTCCATGGCTTTTAATTAACTAAATCAGCCTGCCTCTAAAGCTTTTTACCTTACACACAGAATTCTAATTTATTCACTGTAATGCTTCCTGGCTGTCGCAGTGTCTATCACATTGTGAAATAAAGGACAATGTCAGATCTCCTTTTAGCATATTTAACTATGGGACAATTATTAATTAACACAACTGAATTTGCTGTACTAGATGCGAATAAAGAACTGCAGTAGAAGAACGTCATGTCACAAAGCATAGTGTCATACAACATGGTTGCATTTCTTAATTCAGAAGGATGCTATTTCCTTCATATATCTGTCATTCGAAGCACTATGTAGCAACCTTTTTTTTTTTTTTTAAGAAAACCATTTGCTTCAGAAAAGAAACAAAAAGAACTCCAGCTATGTCGCAGATATTAAATGTTCTTTTGAAAAGGTCACTTTCAAGTTGGAATCCAGTTTTCCCTGTGCTGTTTTGAACAATAATTCAGAGAGCTGACAAAAATGTATAGCCTCCTGAACAACAAAATATTGTAGCTAATATCAGCATTGTTCATTAGTTTTTGTATTTCCTCACTTGTGATATCACATGTTTTATAATATCACAAATGTTATTTAAGTTTAAGACAATCCTTAATAATTTTTCACTCTGCTCCTGAACCAAGTGCCTATTACAAGAAACATTCAGACTTAATGGCCAAATAGAGGTTTTCAATTTTATACAGTGAAATACTTCTTGTTACAACACTAAATCATCCAAGAATGGAAAGTAGCTTAAAATCTTTTCTTTGCTGGACATTTGTACTGTCTACATACATAAAGAAAAGTCACTTTTCAATGAGATGGTGCAGGCCATAAAGTGACAACTTAATCTGAAAACATCACAATTTACAGAAGGTAAGAAGGACTTCTCACTGCAGGAGCTTTCAGGCTGTCAAGCACAGTGAAGTGGTGCAATTTTCTTTTAAAATGAAATATTAACTTTGAGAAGAAAAAAGGGGATATCTTCCCATAGAAAGCCTGATTTTCTACTGCTTAAGCCCTACAGCAAAAGACATTAAAATTTCACATTTTGCACATGCTAGTGTTCAGTCAAGCACAAATTACAGGAGCCTCACATGGCCAGATTGAACTGAAAGTCCACGTTCCCTTAAAGGGAATTCTTTTATTTTATAAGGTTTATTATACCCTAAAACTATTAAACTATAAACTAAATTCAGTTTAACAATCAATGCTGAAATAAATAGTAAAAAACAAATACCAACCACAGGTGGATTTATTTGATACAGAATAAATACTTTTGAGAGGCTAAAAAATATCCTGGTGCATGATGCAAAATTATTAAGAATTTTTGGCAGAAAATCAACACATCATATTGGGCTACATTCAATGCTGCCATCATATAAGGCTACATTCAATGCTGAAGGACCACCAGCTCCCTACAACAAATTCTGGCCTGCTTGGCAAACACAGAGAAAGAGGAGGAATGAGTTATCCCATTTCTTCAATGGAAATGAGGCATAATACGATGAGATATAACTTATAACTTCCGCATCTAATATATTTTAACCAGTATTTTTTATATCACTCAAGGCTATAAAACTATGTTAATGGAGAGAATATTTCTGTATTCTATAACGTAATTTATACACTTGGGGTTGAATTTACAAATAGTCCTCGTTTACTGACTGCCTTATTTAGTGACTATTCACTGTTATGAGATGAGAGCCAGTTTGGTGATGAGAGCTAGTTTGGTCTAACAGTTAAGGTGCTGGCCTAGAACCAGGAGACTGTGAGCTGTACTCCCAACCTTAGGCACGAAAAACTGCCTGGGTGTCTCTGGGTCAGCCACTCTCTCTCAGCCCAACCCACTTCACAACGTTGTTGTTGTGGGAAAAATAGGAGAGGAAGGAGTATTAGCTATGTTCATTGCCTTGAGTTATTTATACACAATCATAAATGTGGGATGAAAATCAAATAAATAAATAGAAAAAATAACTTTGCAACCAATCCTCACATTTACTACCTTTGCAGTCTGTAAAAGAAAAGGAAAGGTCAAGTAAGATCATAAAGCACAGTCATGGTTTAATTTAGTGATCTCTTCACTTAAGAACCAAGTTGCCAGTCCCAATTGTGGTTGCTAAATTAGGACTACTTGTACTAGCCCAAGTTGGCATATTCATATAAGGTGTTGCAAAGACTGCACTATGGTCTTTGCATGTGTACATGAAAGACATTTCAGCTAAAGTTTGTATATTGTGACAATGTGACACACTGTATAGAGGAAATACCGTTATTAGAAAGAGAATACATTTTTAAGACCTTATTTTTAGCTATGAACATCCTGCTGTGAATACTGCATCTTCCTCACTCTAAGAGTCCTGATTATTTTCCATCAGTTTGGAATTTGTATCTGTTATTTGTACTATCCAAAGTGCAATACAGACAGAATGCCAAACTCAGCTGCTGATTATTCTGTGTATCTATTGTTACCCTAATCATTGCTTATAATTACTATTACAGACATTTGCTGCTCTCTCTATATATTAGGTGTCCATCCGTTAGATGCAGGGCTTTTAATATTAATTGCTAATTATAATTATTAACCTGCTCAGGAATTTACTCTAATTTTTGTATTAATAATGGGTTCTTATTGTGACCAACAATTGCATATTGTGAAATAGATATATATTGTAATTGCCCCGGTAGGAAACAGAAGTTAATTAATTTAGAAATATATTTATTTAAATATTTATTAAATTTATGCGCCACCCATCTCATCTAGAGTATTGAGTAATACAAATATATCTAGTGATGTTCACATTAGCACTGTAGTCTGAGACTTTTCTTTCAAATAATTTTCACTGAAATCAAAGGAGAATTGTGACACAAGTTTTCTACTTTCCTAAGTCCTTTCACAATGTTGCCTTTTGTTAAAGTTTTGAAATATTTTCTAAAAACTCTAGAACATAACAATGTTTATTCCAATTGAAAATAGAAAGGCAATTCCTTCCATTTCCTCTTTCAAAAAAAAAATCTGAAGTGGTTCTCTTTAATTATTGTCGAAACAGAAATATACATTTCTAATACTCTCCCCGGGGACATATA